CTTCTAGTTTTTCATCATACCTTCTTTCAGTCATGTGTGGGCGTATTTGTACCGTTTGGCCGGGCGTCCACATGGCTTGTTTGACCATCATCGTCGTGACATGATGTGTCTAATGGGGCAAGCATCTTTGGTGGACGTAACGTGTCCTGACGGAGCAACCGCATTAAATGAGCATGGCGCATTCTTACAGAGTAGGTCTTCCGTGAGTGGGGAGTGGATGTGGCGTGGCTTAACGGAGCAACCGCATTAAATGAGCATAGTGTATTCAGACAGAGGGGGTCTTTTACAGACGGGGGGTTAGGTGGGGACGAGTGATCCAGTGTGAGTGTCCTTATCGTAATCTCCGTATAACTGCGGTATTGTAGACAGAGCGCTGAGCCTTGCTCTGGCTTAGTTTAGGGGAGTCAAGCTCTGTCGTTCTGGCTCGGTACTAGAGTCAGAGCTCTGAGCCCTGCTCTAGTTTAGCCTAGGGGAGTTGAGTTCCTGCCCTTACACCCCCAAATTTAAATTTCACGTTTTTTATAACGAAATACTAACAGATGTTAACAATGTTAACAGTCAACTAACAAAACCAACAGAATGTTATAACTTAATATTAGCTGGAAGTTATTTTCTTCAATTCATGTAGGTGAGAGGTTAAAAATATCATAATATAAGATGATAGGTTAAAATCTATTAATTTTGTAAGGTGAGAGGCTAAAATTTACTAAATTTGTAAAGTGAAAGGCTAAAAATATTATATTAAAAGGTGAAAAGTTAAAATCTATTAATTTTAAAAGTAACGGGCTAAATGTTGGTTTTTACCTTATTTCATCGGTATGAATCTATTTTATTAAATTAAAATCCTTAGTTAATTACAGTCTGACAAATTTTCTAACAAACCCCTAGAACTGGAATCAATCATGCAGATATATGTACTGAAAACTGAAACGGAGAGCCTCTGGTCCAAAATTAATCAGCTGCTGTTATATTCTGATGATAATGTACGGGCTTGCAGTAAACATGAGGAAATTGTTATAAACACTGTTTTAAAAAAAAATGGAAGAAGAAGATGAAGGGTCAGGGTGAGAACGTCAGAGAAGGGGCACGAGGAAGAGAGTGCAAAATTGTCTTCTTTGTTCGACGCGTTATCATCATCATTATTGTTCACGACCTCTTTCTAATGCGCCAAGGAAAATATTCAACTCTTTTTATTTGGAACAACTCACATTGTCCCCCAAATTTTAGACCAGCTGAACGTTTGTACTCTCTCTGTCTCTCTCTCTCTCACACACACACACCAGGTTAACATTGCGTATCAATCTGGTACAATATTCTCGGTTATTGATGAAAGAATGGGTTCATATCCTTCTGAATGTGTGGAGAATGAATTTGGCCATGAAATGTTGCCAAGACGAGACAGATTCAAGACCTTCGATAGTGGAGGTGGTCCAAACTCTAGAAACTATAGGGCTGATGATGCCAAGGTACTCTGACCCCTTGCTAGTAGAATCCATGAAAGGTGACCCAGAAAAGACATCAACTGCTCCACCTTTGTCATCCTCTAAGATGAAGAATTTGTACACATCCTTATATGTTTCTGGTAGTGACCTTGTTAGTGGAGCGACTCCCACCATCACGCCTAAATAAGATAAGACCATACAACACAAACTGCTCTCGCTCTGATAAGTCTGATTCTGACTGTTGTTGTACACTTGTATTGGTTCCCTTATTTCTGCTGTTCCATAGTTTTTTACACCGTCAGGCTACATCATTTATCACTTGCATAAAATACAGAAATGCCTCTTGTATGATTAGGAAATTTAATTTGAAAGCGTTCATACGTAGCTGTAGTTTTTAGTTTTTTTTTTAATATTTTAATTTAAAATATATAAAAATTAAAATACTAAAATACTAAAAAATATTGTCAAATGAAATTATACATAAGTACATACATAGGATTCACAGCCCACTTCGCTTTCTTTATTTAAGTTGAATTGTAATGGGTTAGCAAATACCAGTTGATTCCATATAGTATATATATCGAATTATAAGTTTAGTGACGTGATAACTGATGATCTGATTTTTGAGTTGAGTGAAGTTAGGGAAATGGGTGAGCTATTATTTATATAATTCATTATTAGATAAAAAAAAAAAAATCAAAGGTTAAAATAATTATAACAAAAAATAAATATATGAAAGACTAAAAATAATATATATATATA